AGGGGGAAGTTCCTGTGTTAGCATTCTGCCCCCTGGTGGTCAGAGTGCATTATAGCAATTGGTTGTTCCACCATTTGGTTGGTTTACATATTAGCCTTTTATTATATAGGATGGAACTACCTGACAGTCATTGTGCCCCACTGAGGGGTCTTGGATTGTGAGAGAGCACAGGGCAGGCTGAGGGACCCCACCAGTGCACAATTGAAGCTGGGGAGGGAAGCGGGAGATTGGTCAGCCAGGGAGGAACAGCCTATGGATTCCTCTAATATTTTTATGGTTCCCCATTTTATGTTTAAGTTCATTATCCATTTTGAGTTTATTTTTGTGTATGGTTTAAGTAGATGGTCTAGTTTCATTTTTTAAAATATATTTTATGATTTTTTATAGAGAGGAAGGGAGAAGGATAGAGTTAGAAACACTGATGAGAGAAACATCAATCAGCTGCCTCCTGCATACTCCCTACTAGGAATGTGCTCACAACCAATGCACATGCCCTTGACCAGAATCAAACCTGGAACCTTTCAGTCCACAGGCCGACACTCTATTCACCAAGCCAAACCAGTTAAGGCTAGTTTCATTTTTTTGCAAGTTACACATAATTATTAATAAGGAACTACAATGTTCACTAATAACTGATTACTATTAGTATAATTGTAATGCATTCATTTCTCTTATGCACCTTACAGTGCAGGTACACCATTTCTCTCCACTAATACTAGCAGTGAATATTTTGGCAGCCAATTGCTAAAAGTTAGTCTTGGACTGACTTGTTTGGTGTGTGCACCAAGAAATATTTTGTTCTCAGAGAACAAGAAAAAAATGTTTATTTGTGTTATGATTATTAATTTGTGGAGTTATTCAGTATCTGGTAAATTAATGTTCAAGAAAAATATTATTTTTTATTAAAATGTTCTATTATTTTATGTTAATGATTACTCATTTATTTCTGCCCTTGGTATTTAGCATGTCTCTACATTTCAATGAAAATTGAAGCTTTTGTGCGTGTATTTTTGCGGCCCACATAAACTTAAACCTTGTTTATTTGGCCTGTGTTAGCTTTTGAGTTTGACATGCTTGCTTTAATGGGATGAAACATTGGAAGGCCTTTGGAGGTGATGAATATACTTTCATGTTGAAGAAACATGAATCTCTGTGTCCCAAAGGGCAAACTCTGGTAACCATGCTCCAAGAGAGCCATAAATCTTAACTTCCTATTATTCATACTTTTGGGTAGTACCTTCCCACACTGATTCAGTGCTGACCTGTGTGACAAATAGATCATTGCAGAAGTGACAGGTGCAGTTACTCAATTGTAGCCTCTCATCTGAAGACCTGCGACAATTCTAGGCCACTCACACACTCAATATACAAAGATAGGATAGGCATAGAGCTACCACTTTAGACTTTCCAGTTCAAATGGAGAAAAACAGGAGTTCCGTAGTGGTTCTGAAATTCAGTCAGGCACATGTTGCCAATTCCTTTATTAGAATTCATGTCTTCTAATTCCTAGAAATTATCATCTATAGCTCTTGGTTGTGCTTTCTGGATTCTCAGTTTAATCAATCTGACCCATGTTTTCCTTTTAAAATAAAACATAGTCCATGTTCACAGCTGCGTAGTTTCCTGCCTGTAGAAGTTTATCATCTAAAGACCTTTTCTCATTTTGTACCATCTCTAGTCCTTTCAGTCCAAGCTTGTGGTGTTTTCTCCAGTACAGTTCTCTTAAAAATCGGTAGCCTCTCTGTGAATGCTATTCAGATTTACTCTATTAAACAGTTTTTTATTTTTATTTTTTACATTGGGTTTCTGCTGGCATGCTAAGGGCAAGGTGCCCTTAAGATTATTAGAACCCCTATTATATAATTCAGAGGACATGTATTAAACACCAATATGATTCCTAGAAGTATTTTTTTCTGAGTAAATGGTTTTTTGAGGCACCACCTAATATGTTTTGAAGTCTTAACATGGATTTTATATTCACACCTCATGTTATTTTTAGATTACGTTTTAGTGGTAGTTGATCTTTGCCTGAATATCGTTTATTCATTTTTTTTCTGCATTGTTTGCCAACTGAAGTGACTATTATTGAGAAAACGTTATCTTCAACTGTATGTTTCATATTTAACAGTTTTTCTTTAGCTTTTCTCACTTCTTTTTTCCCTTTTACTATAAATTGAAAGGTGTCAGAATTCCCTGCCTTAAAATGCCAGTAGCTCGATTACAAATATCTCAAGTATACCTTCTTCCTTCCCGTATTAACACAGTGTTGCTAAATGTCCCATTGCAACAACACAAGATCTGGTTTTCTCTCATTTCCAATAACATTTTTCCCCACCTTCCTTCAAGCCATTTCCAACAAACTCCAGAGCCTTTAGACTTCAAGTAATAGTACTTTCCAGGCCCATTCAACTTATTTGGACATCCCAATGCCTAAATCACTGTCACATTTTTAGATTTATATTACAACATGACAAATCACTCCAAAATACAATGGCTTAACCTCATGGTTTTTTTATCTCTTCAAGGGCCTCTCCATAAGATTGCTCAAGTATGATGGCTGACTTTTCAGGGTTAGTAGTCTCAGAGTTCAAGGTGAAAACTAGCCTTGAAAGTCATGCACAGTCACCACTTCCATAGTTTTCTACTGACAACAGAGGTCAGCCCTAATTTGATGTAGAAGGGGTCTACAAGATGGTGTGAATTAATGGAGTCCCTCTTGGAAATGTTAAAGATAATACAAGGAGATGGGGGGAAAACTTAAATGTTTAATAGCAACTTAGTAATATGGCCTATAATTGTCTTCTACTAAAATGCATCCCATGTAGAAAAATGAAAGGACTTAACACTTTAAAATTCAAAAATTCCTTAGGACCAAGCAGAACATTGTTATGGTTACTGATGAAGTCTTGTTTTATGAACTTAATTATGCCCAATTCAGTTCACAGCAATCTGTGTTATGTAGCTGCTTTGCATCAGAGAAGGTCATGTTCTCACAAATAGATCTACTCATTTTGAAGTATTTCTAAGCTAGTATGGATATTTAGAGACTTCCTAGTGTTCAACAACAGAATCAAATGATCCTCTTGTCAAGAATAGTCATTAACATTACAGCTGGATGTTTACTTTCTAAGTGCAGACATTGACTCCTTTCAATATTATTTTGATTGAACAGATTTAAAAGCATGTGTATGCATGCAACTAGTCTAAATAGATGACTTCTCTAAGATCAGCTACTTCAGTGGGGAATGCAAATGAAAAACAATGTAACTTAGAAAAATATATAGATGAGCTGTATGCTTGACATTGAAATAGAGTCTTTTTTTTAAAATATATATTTTATTGATTTTGTACAGAGAGGAAGGGAGAGATATAGAGAGTTAGAAACATCGATGAGAGAGAGTCAGCGATTAGCTGCCTCTTGCACACCCCCTACTGGGGATATGCCTGCAACCAAGGTACATGCCCCTGACCGGAATCGAACCCGGGACCCTTAAGTCCCCAAGCTGACGCTCCATCCATTGAGCCAAACCGGTTTTGGCTGAAATAGAATCTTAATATTAATTTTAAGTCAAGAAATTAAGTTTAATCCTATTTTTACATAGAATTCTTTTGATGGAAAAGGATATACTCAACCTCTGTGATTAATCCTTAAAGAAATTCGAATGATAATTACTAAACTTTAAATATTATAAACCATTAAAAAAGGAAGAAGGAGTTTTCTATTGTACTTAACTACTATTACTAGTTAAACAAAATAGAACACTTTAAAAAATAATGTAATGGTCAATTTTTAAGAGTTTTTATTATAAATTTACTTTTAATAAATTAATGGCAGGTCTTGGTCTCAATCCATTCTATAGAAATTATTTTTTGGTGTGCATATATTATTTGATTGAAATAAATATGTGAATAACCTCAGATTTGTAAGCAAATTAGCACAGTTTAAATTTACTCTGGTAGGTCAATTTGGTATAGGGAACTCTATGAAAAGGAAATGCTTTTGGGGACTTATTTTAGAGATATATTATTTTCTATGGACTATAAATTTTCTATGCATACTAATGTCATATGCATGTCTCTACTGAAAGTCATAACAGTAATTGTTTGATGGTGCTATTTTAAAGTTATCTATAATAATAAAAGGATAATATGCTAATCTGTCCAGACATCCTTCTGGGACAAAGCCGGGGCCCAGGAGAAGCCAGCCTGGGTCCCATGTGCCAGAGGAAAGTCAGTGCTGGCAGTTGGGGAAAGGAAGGCCTACTCTTGTATGAATTGTATGCATCAGGCCTCTTGTTTTTTAATAAAAGATTTAATCTTATTTCAAACTTGGCGTGCGTGTGTATGTGTGTGTGTGTGTGTGTGTGTGTGTGTGGACATTCAGAGAAGGGTGGCTGATCCTTATGTTTAAATGTATTCTTTGTAATGTTTGTTAGGATTTTATAAACTTATAAATAATTTATAATGCAAATATATCTTTGGATTAAATTAGACATTAATCCATAAAAATAGATTCATCTTAATTGATAATAGTAAATTTAGCATTTTGTCATCTAAATAACAGGCCTCTAGAAAATTAAGGAAATAGATATAATATTGAAAGTTTAAGAGGAAGGCACTTGAATAGTTGAGAAAGGTTTAATTTGTATGTTCTAATCTCTGTAGGCAGGGTCAAGGGCAGAAGTACAGCAGTGAACTATTAACAGCAGAGGGACATAGAATGAACTGTGACAGAGTGAGAAAGAAGTCAAGAAGAAAATAATAAGGAATGCTAATTCCAGAGACAACGATTCATTTAGGTTCAATCTTTATGTCTTTCCCTGAAATAATACCTCTTTCTCACAGTTCTTCATTCTTCTGTACTGAATACAACACCAGCAAGGACCAACAAAGCAGGAGTTGGAGACAATGGCTGAGATCAGGGAGCATCACCAGAGGAAACTTAGTGAAGCTTGCTGCACACAGATTTTAACTTCTCCATTTCTTCTGCTCTCTCACAGGTTTTCTGAACCAGATGAATAACTCGAGTCACTCTGTCCTTCAGCCTTCATTCCAAGGATGCATGCAGCTCATTCAAGTGGATGATCAACTGGTAAATTTATATGAGGTGGCACAAAGGAAACCAGGAAGTTTTGCAAACGTCAGCATTGACATGTGCGCCATCATAGACAGGTAACCAGTCTTTTCATCCTGCTTCACATTGACCAGACTTTTCAAATTCATATTTATGTTGTGGGGTGAATGAAACATTCACCCTCCCACCCACCCCTCTGATGGGTTAGGCAGGAAGAGCCTTGTGCCATGCCGGTGGTCCTACATGTGGATTCTAGCAATGCCTTTTATAGCAGGACATGGATATACATGAGAGAACAATCTGTGATGCCGCATTACTTCATCACCCTTGCTCAATGAGTGTGAGCATTATGTAAGTGGCTTTGCAATCAATGGCTGAGATATGAAGGGACTCCGTTTATTCTTAGTTTTGCTTCCTACATCCACAAGCAGAGATGCCCTTCTCTCCTTGTCTTGGTCACAACTCATCCTTATCATATTGCCCCAGCTGAAGCCTCCTCAAAGTAAAAGAAGAATTAAAAAATGTTGGTAGGCTATGTGGGGGCTTACAGAAGCAGAATGTTTAATGTAATTGAGTTTGCTTATAAAATACATGTGTGAAAATATTGCAAAATCTAATCTTTATTAGTTTTTGCAACTCTAAGGAGGAGCTTTTTAGGAAAACTGAGTTGACTTCTCACACAATGGAAAGATACCTCTTTTGTATGAAATATTGTGACATAATTATATACTTTACTTTAATATGCTTCTAAAATTGCCTTTTCTTCTAGTGTAAAAATATTTTTCATATGTTTTGCCTATATACAAATAACACCTAACCATTTACTGAATTTAACCTGGTGAATAAAGATGATTAAAAAAAACATTTTAAAATTATTCTGAAAGATAATCTAATTAATTTTATATTTTAAGAGATGAAAGTTCTATGTCTCAATATGCTCCCCCCCAAATATATATACTTGAAATCTCTAATAATATCATTTAATTTAAGAAGATATCCTTGGGGAAGTCATTCAAAGATATATGATTAATCTTAAAAATATATAAAGCCATTTATAAAAAATTAAGTTTTTCCATATAATCTAAATAAAATACTATTTGTGTTAAATAAATTAATTTATGATAGGTACAGATTATGACTTTTTAAAGTCTTAACATATTTGTAATAAAATTTGATGTATCACAGTATTTATTTCTATTACTGATGGCAATCTAAACAGTTTATATTTAAACAGAACAATGAAAAATTTTAATAGAAATATACTCATAATTTTGAGCCATCAATATTGTGTAATACTGTTGTTTCTGCCTAATGAAAATGGTAGCAGTAATCAGAAAATGTGAGAGATGAAGTTTTATAAACATATTCTGGTATTAGATGTTTATCTGTAAATTTAGTAATTGTTTTCCATTCAGAAAGATTTTTCTTTGTAGTAATAGTTATACAGCATATAGAGATATTTTATGACTTTGTCCATTTTCCATGCCAGTAGCTTTAATAATATAATAATTTCTGTCTGTAATAACCAAGTTAGTTCTTTCTGCTTTTGTAAACATGCTAGATTTTATGGCAATATTGCTGTTTCACTTCAAACACCATGTTTCCTGAGCATTATAGTTAAATTGTTTAAATTGTTTGCAACTGAAGAAGTATGGGAGAGATATTGACATTTTAATAGATTACTCCCATGAAAAAAGTGGGAGTCAAATTGGCCTCAAAAGAATGAATGAGATTTTGGTAAATGAACAGAGTAGAATATGGTCTTCCTGGTGAAGATGTAGTATGGTAAATGCAAATTTCAATTTTTGGTAGCTAGAGGAATAGAGTTAGTCCCATTGTCTATGTTGTCAAGTATTCTTCAGCTAACAGAACAGGGAATTTCTTTCTTGCCCTCCTGGATGATAACCCACCTCTGATACAGGTCCACAAATTTCCTAAAACCACTATGGAATTCATGTTCTATTTGTCTTATTTCTTAAGGAAATAACTTCTGTACATTAACTACCAATATGTAGGAAACCACATTCCTTTATTTACTTAAAATGTCTTCAGGTCAAAATCTTAATCTGTGAAGTGTTATATTTTTATAAATATGACACAAGACTATATTCATCTATTGAAACTATTGAGGAGATCATTGAGGATTTAGTCTGTATCTGCCAGGTGAGAAGACCAGTGGGTTTAGCCTGAACTCATATATTGGTGACCCACTAGGTCACATTTTAATGACACATCCTTAGCTCACCTCTTGTTCATCCACCCCCACCACCACTACCACCACTAACTGAAATTTTGCAATTGCCTTATCTCTTCCATTTTATTTACAAACTACCTAAGTAAGCCTGCATTGGCTCTTTCTTACTTTTCTCCCTTCAAACTTCAGCTTGATGATTTGAAACCTATTTTTGGGGAGTGCGGTGGATAAATGAAAACATAGGGTGAAAAAATATGAACACTTCTGCAAGTGTGACTTTTATAAAATGTTTAGAGATAATAGGAGCAGCTGAATGATTTGATGAGTAGAACTTAGAAAAACAGTTTGGGGAAGATGACACTAAGGGAGTTTTGCTGTGTGTCCTGGAATACCTTATGATTTCAACTTATTTTTCTTTCTTTGTGTGGGGAATTACAACTGGCTTGTTTTCTGTAAAATGTAGAAACAGGGAGCTATTATATTTCATAATCCAAATGAGAGACTCTGGTGGTCTCAGACCAGTGTGTTGGCACAAGAGGTATTGAGATGTGGCCGATTCTGAATATATTTAGTGGTATTTCTTGATGTGTTAGATATGGAGCATGAGAAGAAGAGAGGAAATGATTTGGTAAAAGCAATTGGAAGGAAGGTATTGTTGTCTCCTTAGATGGGAAGGCTAATGGTAGAGATTGGTCAGGGGGAAATCATGAATTTGGTGGTGAGCATGAATTGAGATGTCTATTGGATGTTTGGATTGAATTGTCAAGAAGATACTGGGATATAAATATGTAACAAACATATATCAGCAGACTGATTAAATGGCCATGTTGACCTATTGAGGGCCTCTGGTTTCTTCAGCTGTATTTCCTAATAGCCATAGACTGGAAAGGCAAGAGGCAAATAGAGGGCAGGAAACCTCTTCCAACATCGGAAGAGCTCTACCCTTTCATTGATACCCTGCTCCCAGGGAGGAGGGCCTCTGCCACATCCTCGGTTGCTAGAATACTCTCTGAAATCAGAAAGCTATCCAGCACATAACCTCTGGATTTCTCCTTGCATAATTACCATCTTTAATCTGCTCCTAGCAACCTTACATTGTTGATTCCTTGTGGCAAACATCTTTAGAGGCCCTTTATAGTTCCTATTCCCAACCCACTTCTCTCTCACCTCTTTTCAGGTGTGCAAATATGAGCCAAAGCCCCTAACGTTAGCTTTACTCACTTGCTCCTGCCAGAGAGAACTACAACAGAATCATGGAGACATTTCAAAGGAAGTGAGGGGAGAAGGGAAAAGAGGATGGAGAAGAGGGAGAGAGTAAAAGAAGGGGATAGGGGCTGTAGTAAGTCCTGGGAGGGTCCTGGCAGGTGTTGGTCAGAATCTGTAAAGGAGGAGAGCTGCTGCAGCCTTGGACTTGAGAATCTATGAGGAGTTACTCTTTGATGCCTTGTCTGTGATCCTTACAAGGACATAGGGGATGAAGAAGCTGCTGTTGAAATATTTTGAGTTTGCCTCATTTGGAAAAATGTTTCTGTTTTGTGAGTAATAGTAAAGCCTGTTTTGCTCGTTGTGACTTGTATATCAATCCTAAAACCTTATAGCTTAGCTGCCAGAGAGGTCATTTTCATTGCCACAGTCAAGGGGAGCCATGGGACACAGTCCTGGCCACTGAGAGATAGAGGTCAGCTATGGTGTTCTTGAAAAAGCGTTTATTTCCTGATTCAGCTGCCACCCCTGCCCCTACAGTGTCCTTTTTTCCAATGCAGACATCATGCCTGGAGCTGTGCAGTCAAGAAAATTCGAGCTCGAGTGAACCAGAGTCAGAAATCACCTTCACTTCTTTTTATGTGAAGAAAAAAAAAGTAATCCTTGTTTATCCAAGTCACTGGAGTCAAGATTTATTTTTCTTGGAGCCAAAAGCAGCTGTTTTTTTTTCCATCTTCCATTTCTAAAATCAGCCAATACCTTCCCTTTAGCGACAAATTCCCAAGTGCATTTGTTGATGGCTTTGAAAGAAAAGAGGGTACATTTCTTTGGGGGTCTATTCAGTTGCATGCCAGTGATGTCCCCTAGAGACTGGCACTTGGACACTGAGTGGTTATTGAGAGACCAGAGCAAATTCATGTTGTCAGAACCAGCATCTGGTAGAAACACTGGTAAAAGTAGTTCATTAGGATTATAATCTTGGCTTTCCTGTTGCCTCGCTTGTAAATATATTCAGAAACAAAGCCAGTAAACATTCTGAATATCACAGAGAGTGGAAGAAGAAGAGTAAATATTAGCCCAGCCTACAAAATTACTCCTTGAGAAATTCTGAATAGACTGGATCCTATTTCTGAGTTGGTAATTAAGTCTTCATTATATCTTTGGATAGAAGTACATAATCACAGTCCCAGTTTTTAGTTTTTATGTCAGTGTTTTCTTTTCAAGAACATCTACCCAGTTTGTTTGATTTTTTTTTTCCTTGAAAGAAAAGAAGAAGTGTAGGATTTCTTTTGAGAAACATTTAAAGGAGAGTTAAATAGATGTAGTGATGTTTCAAAACTAAGCTGACTATTGGAAAGGTGAGCAACAAAGAAAGAGATGAATATTATCAGTTCAGAAAGAGGTAATGCATTTCTGTAAAAGTAAGGCTAAAATGTATAAGCCTAACTTAAATGAATGAAATGTAAAGTTTTTTTTTTTATAATTGATCTTAATTTGCTCATGAACTTCCACTTCCAACTCATACCAGAAAAACTAAATATTTGAACACATGTATTTGGGTACACTAATATATATATACATGCATTTTTTTCAGTCAGTATGATATGCAAGCTCATTCAAAGGTCAATTGGGCTATTACCCCATTTCAAGTGTCTTCCTTGACACCACCAGCATGGCCCTTGGGTCAGAACCAGCCAACTT